CTGGTCTGTCAGTCATATGCTGAGATGTGCAGAAAGTGGAAAAATTGTATAAATACTAAACCACATGAACTTTGCAGTCCTATTATTATCATCTTTATGGAGAAAGCTGTCAGTGGTAAGAATAAGCCAAGCCAATTCTTGCGTAATTAGCCCCATACAATTACATGGTATTTAGCGATCTTTGGCTTGAGCTGTAAGTTCTTGTGTATAACAGGGCGTTTCTGATGAGAACATGAAATTTAGATATCCAGAGTGAGTATGTTGCAGTTAACCTAATCATTTAAAACCTTTTCGTGCTCCTTTAGCTTCTGTCTTAAAGGTCATTGAAATCTAGACCTGGGATACCCTTTTTAGCCTTTGCACAGCATCAGTTAGTGTTCTGTTTTCGAGCACTTGCTAGTACTGGATATGAGGGGTGCTACTTTGGAAGGATTTTGTAGTATTTGTCTTTTATTTCCTACTTTATCGCTTGGCAGTATTCATACGCTGCTGGTTTTTTTTACGGAGATTGCTGAGGCTTGAGCCATTGCTGCTGAGTGTTTCTTTGCTGTACCTAACCTCAAAATTGCTTTTGCTGTCTCCTTGGATTCTTCTACTTCCAGTGGAGGAAAGTAGACCTTCTGGCTTAACCTGAGCACAATTCTAAGAGCTCCCTAGCCCAGAGCTCAGCAATGGCACAGATCATCTCTTGACCTCAGCCAAGCACGTCACTTGGGACTTGGTCCTGCATTGTGCGTAAATTGATTCTCCCTGCCCTCCTGTTGAAGTGGGCTTGCTATAGGTTTGGGATCTCTCATTTATGCCTTGGTTTCTTTGTCTTTTTACAATGCATCTTTTCTTGAAAAGGTAATGGAACTCCTTTACCTATAAGAGTGATCGTATGTATCTGCTGAGTATTACCTATCTGTGTATAATTCTGATACGTGTCATTTTTACATCTAAGATGTATACAACTCCTGTCCAAGGAAGTTCTGTAGTTTAGATGGTAAGTGGGATGTGCAATTAACCTTGTGTGTCTGGCTCTTTCAGAACAGGGCAGTCGGACGGCCGAAAGGGAAACTGGGCACTGCTTCTGCAGTAAAGCTCGCGGCTAATCGGACAACCGCTGGAGCACGTCGGAGGAGGACGCGATGCCGCAAGTGCGAGGCGTGTCTGCGGACAGAGTGCGGCGAGTGTCACTTCTGCAAAGACATGAAGAAATTTGGGGGACCTGGCAGGATGAAACAGTCCTGCATTATGAGGCAGTGTATTGCAGTAAGTGTATCTGTTGCTACAATTCGTTTGGAGATTTCTTTCCTATGTCTGTCTCCTGGTGACAAGGTGTGGAACCGAGAACTCTGTTCTGAGTAGTCTCTAAAGCACATCAGGCAAAACAGCGTAATCCCGGCCCTCTCAGTTCAGATCTCTTCTTCCCATCACTTTTCACACACACACCTCCAGTCTTAAACCAGAATGCTCCTAAAACTTAGTAGCACAGCTTTTGTTCTCAGTAATATAGAAGGTAGATGTGGAGATGACAGTACACCAGAAATTGGCACTCAAATCACACTGAAATTCTGGAATTTGGGGGAGAAGGGGAAGAGTGGGAAGTTCTGATTCAAAGGGAAAAGAGGCCTGTTTGGATCTCTGAATTTCCTGAGAAAAGCTGCCTTGCAACTATCTTTACCATCTTAACTAGTTAAACAAATTAAGATACGGAGAAATCTTGATCCTCCAAGATTTTGGCATCGGTGACCCCAGCCCCAGGCTACTTGAGACCTTAATTTCAATTTGTTTGCTATTACCTAGGCGTATAGGAGGGATCTGATCCAGATGAGCTGAAGAGTCATCAAGCCAGGGTTTTGTCTTCCTCAGGGACTGGGAATGGCTGTTGGGGGATGAACATCAGGACAGGGCAAGCAGACAGTCAGACAGTTTCCTGGGCTCCTGTGATACATTGCTTAGAAGCTTCCTGAGTCATAAGTGATAGCTTTGTATTTAACAAATACTGACAGATTAATCTTCCATTAAGTTGTCCAAGCATCTTTTGAATCTGTTGCTTTCATACTGACTGTTGTGGAGCTTCTCCTCAGGTCTCATGTCCACGGTGCTCCCATTCAAGGGTAAAAGTTAGCTTTAGCTTTTCTCTTAGTTCTTTGGAAGGTCTTGAATATGCTGTTGTTGAGGGTTTGGTTTTCTGTTGTTTTTTTTTTTTAAGGAAAGGAATGTTGTTTATTCATAACTGAAATATCACTCCATCTGTACTGATTTCTCTCTAACTCTTGTTACAGTTCCTTTCACTTAGTTGCGTTTTTTTTTCTTTCCTTTAATTCTGATGAGGAGACTGAAGTGGAGGCATTAAATGACTTGGTCTGACACTGATAAAAAACTGATAAGCACTTAAGATTTCCAGTAGTTGGTCCTGGTTGCTCACTCCATGTCCTGTTCTAAGCCATGCACTGTTCTTGACATAGAGGATTGGATTCAGCTCTGCTGGATCTTTCAGTAAAGTACAAAGAATATCTACCTTTCTGCAGAGTGCTTTTGCAGCTCAAGTGTCTTTTCTTTGAACACTTGATTTCCTGGAGTGTGGCATGAATTGAACAGCATGGATGAAGAATTTATTATTCTCCAGGGGGAAGAAATAGTGAAATCGTGCTGCCTTTTTAGTGGAGGGATTAAATTAGGACTGCAGTGTGCTTTCTTGTCCTGACTGATGAAGGAAACTTTCATACTAAGCTGTTTCACTCTTGATAAACACACGGAGCCTTTTGGAGATGAACTGGGTTCTCTTCTGGCTGAGTTTAGTCATCCTCTCATCCCCTTTCTTCTAATGAAGAAGTATTTTTCTTCTTGGTATCTGCAGTTTTATTTCCAGGAGCTGTGATTGGAGTACAGGGCTTTGTAGCCAGGGTACTCTGATTCCTTGTCCCACCCTTGCACACACTGAAGATGACCTCTCTGTTTTTTGTAGGTTCCCATTGGTGTAAATAGCAGGGGGAGTATTACAAACTTTCTTAGACCAGCAAAAGCACAGAAAATTAACAAGTTGAACTGTTGTAACTTTTAATGGTGCTTTACATTTCTATAAGCAATCCTATTGTCTTTACTCTTGTTCATTATGTTCTCTAACAATTGCAGTAGTAATATATTGTGGTACCTATCCAACAGCTTCTAGCCAAAAAAAAACCCCGCAGAACACCGAAGCAAGGCTCTGTGGAAGTAATGATCCCTACAGTTCTGGGTTTGTGCTTTCGTCTGGTTAATGACATTGACAATATTAACTAGACACAGACTTTCATTAAACTCGGAAGCCTTAAGAGAGCCTGTACTGCCGTTCAGAGAACAGGAAACTCCTCTGCATCACTAGTTCAATCAAGAAAGGAAACGGGAGTGCCTGGGACGCTTTATGCTGCATTGAATAGGTCTGAAGGGAGTGTGGGGGCCCTGTGCTGGGAGGACGAGTTGTGACAGCATGGCTGCTGTTCCAGCCCGTCAGTGGGACGGGGCTAGTTGGGACACAGAGGAGATTCCCTAGACACCCTTGCTCCCAGCAAGAAAAATTGTACTGCTCCTGGGATGTTTGTTCTTGTGTGTGGATATAAATACTTGTCGTGTGGGAGATAGGACAAAACAAGTGGACAGAGCTCTTATGGCTCTGGACAACTTAGCTTTTCTCTGGTTTACCTGCTGGTGGAATGGGATTGTGGGGATTCCTGTGCTTGGAGGAAAGGTGGGAATTAAATAGCATTTGCAAAATGCTTTTAAAATGGAGCGTGGGTAAGTACTGGCATGAGAAAGCAGGAAAGTGTTGCCGTAGCTAATGTATCAGATATTGGTGTGTGGGTCAGCACGCTGTACTCTGTAATGGCTTAGTATAGCTAGGTTTTTCCCTATCTGAAACTTGCCGAAGAATGCACTGTTGCTGCATAGATTTGGTCTGGTGTGCAAGTATCCGCTTATGGGTTTTATTCACTCCATCTACAAGAGATCCTTACCATGAAAAGCCACATCTCTGGCTGCTCAAGAGTTAAGGACTTGCAACCTGATTGATTGCATTTCACATTACAGCCAGCTTCTTATAAGGATCTTCCTTTTCTTTCTTGTAATGAGACTTATACCTTTTTGCCACAAACCAGAAGTTTGTTCCTCGTTAGCACAAAGGTGGCTTTTTAATTAGACTGGCATTCAGTGCTTTGACATGGGTGACAGATATGTAAGATGCTGCAGTTCCCTTTCTGCCTCAGCAAAAGACAGAAAAAAATCAGTATGCTTCTCACTTGTGACACTTGCAGGAGAGGAATTCTCTTTTTAAGTGTCTGTGCAGTGCTTTTTGCAATGTTCAGGTTGGGAGCAGGGCCCTAGATAATAGATTGTCAGTCAGGAAAAGGTCTGTTCTTGGTTCTGTTGTTGGCTTGCCATGAGACCTGGACTGGGTCCCATAACATCTGTCTGCCCTGCTTGTAAAGGGAGCGAGCTGCCAAATTGCTAGTCAGATTGTGAAGCTTAATGGATGTGAATAGTGATGTTCTAGGTTACTTCTTTTCCCTCCCATTGTACACTAGTGAGGTGACTTGCATGCCAATGTCTGTGTCAGCTCACGGATTCAAGGGACCCACAAAAAAAGCATTTTCATCCATCCCTGGGGTGCCTCATGAATCTGTTGCTACAGGGAGGGCACTTTCATTCCATGAAACATGTCCTGTGATGCTTGGTCTGGGTACCCAGCCCCGATTGTTTTTCTTGCCTTCGTTGCTCTGCTGGGCTGGAGCCTTCAGCAGTTTGCACAATTAATCCCTGTTTATGTCCTCTTTGAAATGAGGATACTGTAAATGCACATTGAGTTCTTCTGTTTCCATATGTCTTCCGTGTCCTGATCAAGACTTCTTCCTGATATGTGTAAACAGCCGGTGTTGCCTCATACTGCTGTGTGTCTGGTGTGCGGAGAAGCTGGGAAAGAGGACACTGTGGAAGAGGAGGAGAGCAAGTTTAATCTCATGCTAATGGAATGCTCCATTTGTAATGAAATCATACACCCAGGATGCCTTAAGGTGAGTACATGTTGGAAACAAAAACTGGATTAGTTATCACCTTAATGTAGAAGTAGTGCACAGAAATTGGAAAGCTTTCACATTTTCATCTTTGGAAACTTAAGTGAGCAAAAAGAGTTGGTGTGAGAAGCAGGGTGACAGCCGTGGCACGCGCAGCCCTGACTGGCAGGCGGGGATCCTTTGATGTAACAGCATCCCCTGTAAGCAGAGGCTCTTGCTTTGGACAGCCTCCGAAATGTGTGTGCATGCAAATGTCTTGTGGGTTTTTGTTTTGTTTTTCTTTCTTTTTTGCCTCTTGTTTAGGGAAGTGAGTAGTTTCAGTTGGGATGGGAAGCTCAAGAGGACAGAGAAATCCCTATACTTTTGGATGAGTTAGTCACAATCCGCATATCGGTAGCTCCTTCCTGTGTCCCACAAAGTACAAACGAGTAGTTTGCTGTTCATGTTTGTCCAGGCACGGATGTGCCTTTCAGTGGCAGCTGGCTTTAAAGATGTTACGAGCGAAAGTTGCAGTAGGAAGACAGCAGCTCTAGAGAACAAACTGAGCGAGTTTCAGGCTGCAGGAGTGCTCACCCTTGGCTGACTTGAGTCCTGTGAGCAACTATATTCTTTGCTGGTAATAAAAGTGTCATTTTGGGCATATCTTTGTGTATTAGTGTTCAGAAGCCGCCTTTCTCCAGAGCTGGTTGGTTTCAGCTGATCAGCCATTTCCTGTTGCTGATTTGTTTATGGTTAAAGTGATTTGCCAAAGCAAATGTGTTCTGACACACCATGCCCCAGAAAGCAGCTTTTGGCCCTTCTGGGATCTCTGGGAGGAGAGGTATGTTCTTTATGCAGGCCCGGGGTGACGCTCTCCTGGCCTTTTATTTTTCTTGTGCTGTACGTAGTCTTGCACCAAGCTATGTGTGTGTCATTTATTAGAGCAGAAAGTAGGTAGTTGGCAAACCAGAACTGTGGCTGTCTCCCTGATTCATGAAATTGGTGCTCACAGCTCCTGCCACAGATGGGCTCTGAAAGGGAGCTTTGCTTGCTTGGCTCTGCTTAAAATAAGGCTTCGGGGGTTGATGAAGCAAGGGAAGGAGCTGCTCCTTTTCAGAGGTACCTCAATTTTGCCTTGTAGCTGCTGCTTTGCTATTCCAATCCTTCCTGAAAATGCCCTGCGCTCCCCCGTCTCTCACTTTGCAGTGTCAGTGATGCTTCGTGGCTGAGTCCAGAGGACGTGATTGTTGTCTAGTGGCAGTTCAAGTACGGTTTCCTCTCCCCATGCCACATTTGGGACTAGTTGCACAGGATGTGGGTCAGATCTGTGAAATCAAGCAAGTGCTGTTTGTTCTTTTATGCATATGTGGTGTTCTGAGTGCTGTTTTGGTAACTAGGAACAATGTAGCTTCGGGTATTTCTGAAAATTTAGCAGTGGGAGACTTAGTGTGCCTTGTGCGTCTTGTATTTTCATTTCTCAGTGCTTCTGTTGAGCTGGAACGGTGGGATAACTGGTACTGTTTATTTACTGAGACAAAGGGCACCAGTAGGATTTCAGAATCGTCTCGGAAGGCGAGATGAGACTATGCACCGGAGAACAGCAAAAACAAAATGGAGCCTCTTCCTTGGTTCCCTCCTTGCTCTTTGTTCCCGGGTTCCATGATTTTCTGCAAGACAAAAATTTGTTGCCATGTTTGCATGTTGCTCGAGCCCTTGACGTGGGCTTAAGCCCCGGGGATGGAGCCCATAAATAGTCCTTGTGGGAAGCGCCTTTGAATGCAGACGCAGCCCCAGGGCAGCTGCTTCTGCTGTCCACCAAGAGAAAGTCCCTTCCTGTCCTACTCAGTAAATAGGCAGCACGTGTGAATTGTCGGTCATCTCCAATTAAATGTCTGGCAAACGTACTTTTGGGGGAGGCTGGAATAAACTGGATCAGTGAAGGGGAGGAGTGTCCTTTCCTGGCTTATTCCTGTGTGGAGTGAATTCCCTCCAAGATGCATCTCCAAAGCTTGTGGAGTAGTTGGGCGCATGCACTGGCTAATTTGTACTCCAGGGCAGGTTGTTCCTAGTTTGAAGTCCATCCTCTTCCAGCTTCCTGATTCGGCTGTACAAGTTCGTGGTGCGTTTTCTCCGTGGAAAAACAGTGTCAGAAGATGACCTCTTTGAGGAGATTAAGGGCAGCTCAGGTGCGTCTGTGGTCTGACACACTTGCAGCCTTGAGGGGCTTCTGTGGGTGCCTCTTGCTGGGGGAGCCCTGGGTACCAGAGCACATTAGGTGCTCGCGTTGGAACCGCACTAAGGACAGCCAGGATGTTCCACGTACTGAGAAGTCTCATGGGAGGTTTCTGCCATGCTTCTTTCCTTGAAAAAACAATACCAACACAAATGCGCGTTTTGCTGAAGAGTTCCTTATGAAAACGGTTTTGGCGAGCATTTCACAAGCTCAGCATTGTTTCCAGAGGGAGCTAGAGATTTTTGAAGGAATATTGCCTTTTGTTGTTACAGATCGTTTGAGTTGAACTGATACTGATGGGTTTTTCTTGTTACATGTCAAATTGCGAGTAATGCTGGTTAGCACGTGTGAGTGAGTGCAGTATCTGATGTTGTCTCCTTAAGAGAAGGGGGTTGTTTTCCCCAGTAGGAGCCTGTTCTTTTTCATCTTAGATGGATATAGTGATAATGATGGAAAAGGTGAATATTTAGGTGCCCTGTCAGAACAGCAGAAGTACAAGGACCTCTTCCAGCACAGCTGCACTGCTGCCCATGGGTTCAGCCCAGGTGTGTCTCGCTGCCGATGTTGTTTCAGTCTTGGCACTGCCAGAATTCATGGCTCTCACTCAGCGATGTCAGATCAGCATCCTGGGGTCTCCATATTCCCTAACAAGAAGACTTCACAGTAGCGTAGTCTCATGTTTAGACTTTCTGAATTGCTGACCTCGTGCTGCAGGTACGTTTCTGAAGATGCCTCACGCTGTGGCTCAGGCACCCACCTGCTCTTTGTAGCAAACACTCAGAACTGGCTCCCACCCAGCGTGAAAGGCTTGGGACTGATTCAGTGGCAGGTTTGTGTGTGTCTAATTAGTTTGCTTACAGTTCCTCACATCTGTTCAGTTCCTTAAACTTCACAGAAGGGACAGAGCTGTAATGCTTTCCCTTTAGTAGCATTTGTTCTATATTCGGTGCAGGAAATAACTTGTTCCCAACTTGGGCTTAGGCCAGGAATTGTTCCCCTGAGGCAGAGATGTATACAACAACTCCTGGAGTATCTTACACCTACCATGGGAAAGAAGGTTCAAAGGCACACAGTTGTGATAAAACCAGTATTTAAATTCTGCCCACTTCATTTACTCATTTATTAACTCCAGAAGACTTGCTGAGAGAGACTGACACACCATCACTCTCGCTAGATGGTGAAACTAGAATGGCTGCTGTCTGGCTCGGGGGCTTGAGGAAGCAGTTCCCCTAAAACCAGGGCTTGATCCTGCACAGCTAGTGTGTTTTCGCTGAGCTGGGAGGAGAGAAGGAAATGTTTCAGAAACGTGAAAAATCTGCAGATCTTTGCCCCTGCCTGTTTCAGCCGCAGTCTCCTGCTACTGTGCTGCTGATGCCAATGCCTAGCTATTTGTCTTGACTTTACCATGTTTATGTTGTCTATAATAGAAATAAATTAATGTTCTTTCCCCCCCTCCTCCCCAAGGCTTATTTCTAAATATATAACTAAACTCTTAAATGTGAATGTGCCATCAGTGAGCGTATGTGTTTGTGTGGAGGGTGTTTTTACCTTAGCTCTACTTTTCATCCTCAGTTTCATTCACAGAAATGCCTTTTCAGAATCACCGATCTCCTGTTTGGAAAGTAATGTGGGCTCCTGTATGGAAATTCAGAAACCAGCAGCTTTTCAACTGCGTAGGGCAGGACTGTGCTTTTATTGTAGTGTAACAACACTGAGTGTGCGTCTTCTCTTTCAAAGAGCAAAATGTCACAGTCTCTCAGAGGTAGTGAAGTAGTAAGCATTTCTCTTCCTTACGCTAGGGTAACTGTGGGTGTGGGAAACGAAAAATGCCTTCACGTGTCCAGTCTTCTGAATGGAAGTGCCTGTTCTCTAGCTGACTTGGCAACCATCATTTTTATTGGCACATGGGCTTGAGGGCTGGAGGCATGGGACTGCTAGTTCTGATCCATAAAGAAAAATCTTTTAAGGAACACTTGATTACAGAGCAGGGTGCTTTGCTTCTAAAAATGCCGAACAGTATTAATGTATGTGAGAATGTGTGTATGGGAAAAATCCCTTCCTATTAAAAGATCAGACTGTGCCTTGCTCCAGGGGGCACGGGGGGACACAGGACAGGACAAACTTTTCAAATAAGTGGTGTGGGAGGATGTTAGGAGATGGCCTGATTACAGTCCTGGGTTTTGGGGGTTTTGGTTTGGGTTGTTGAGGTGGCTTTTGTTGTTTTGGCTTTTTGCAAGAGCAGAATGTGCCCTGTGTTAATTGGGATTGTCAGTGACCTTCATAAAAAGCCCAGACCTTTGTCAAATACCAATTTGGCCAGCATGCTTTCCTCCCCTGTTGGCATCATCAGAAGGGCAGTTGTGCAGGGCCGAGGGCTTGCTCAGCACCAGCAGGATGGTGCAGCACCTGCGGTGATCTGGGTTTCTTTTCTGCAGCCATTGGGAGGGCAGCAGTCGATCAGAGAAAATTGAGCTGTACAAAATGCCTCTAAATGATCTACCTGTAGACTTTTGCAGCCTTTTGCAGCACGATTGTGAATTGAGTTGTGCCTCTCTTTTACCAGGTGAAGGAATCGGATGGTGTGGTTAACGATGAGCTGCCGAACTGCTGGGAGTGTCCAAAGTGCAACCATGCAGGGAAAACTGGAAAAGTGAGTTTAATGGGAATAAGTGGTGCTGGAATAAGATACAAAATCTCAAGCATTCCCTCTGGCTTGTAGATATAATTTTGCCCAATACCAGCTTTTGATTTTGTGCTTAATTCAGTTGAGTTGAAGAAAATAAGCTGATGGCTTTCCATTCTTTAATAATTTTTGTATTCTTGTTTCATGTACCAACACTTCACCCAAAACCTGGGGAATATTTAGGTTAGTTCTGTGCACTGCTGCGTGTTAATTTCTAAGATGAAAATACTTTTTTAAAAAAATAAAATCCACAAGCAATTATGCAAAACCTGAAGTGTCAGTTGGAATTAGTGAAACATTATTTCTTTGCAAACTGAGACAGACAGGGCAAGTGTGTTGTTACAAAAAAAACTTCATGAAAGTTGAAACTCCTTTATTCTTAACTCCTTGCTAATTATTTTGTCTGTTACAAAGTGATCAACCCACCAGTGTTGCAGGCAACTTAAAGAGCTGAGAAAGGCATAAGATATAAAGTTTGTTTGTGTTTTGTGTCTCTTTGGCGTACAAGCAAAAGCGCGGACCAGGATTCAAATACGCATCAAATCTCCCAGGCTCATTGCTGAAGGAACAGAAAATGAACAGAGACAATAAGGAAGTAACAGATGCTGCAAAACGGAAAGGGGATTGTGAAGAAACTCCCAGGCGGAAATCAGAGGAACATTCCAAAAAGACTCAAGTTGACTCAATACTGAGGAGAAAGTCAGATGAAGTGCATCTGTGGAGGAAAAGGAAATTTGAGAAACCCCAGGAACCCCCTATGAGAAAGCGGGTATGACAAAACCTCTTTTCATGTACTTACACAGATGCGCGTGGGCTGGTTGCGGCTGATGTCTCTTGCCTTCTGGCTTATAGCTCATCTTGAAATCGCAGATTGTTACAAAAGAAACTGAGATGTTTTACCTTCCTTTCTGAAAGCTGCTAGTCTAGCAGGACGGTAGTTTGAGCAGCGACACTCGGGTTGACGTTCAGAGGCCGAAAATACTGGGCTATGGCTGTTGTTTTATTCAAAATACTAGAAAACCCACTTTAACTGAAAAGCCTTTACAAGGTGCTTGGAGTAGGAACAAGGTGAAAATCAATTTTTAATGGAAACTTTTTCATCTTTATCCACTTGGTGGCGCATGGCAGCTTGTTTTGTGGCTGATTCAGGGACGTACAATACTCGTAACCCATCAGAGGACCTTTAGAAATGACACCTGTAGCCTGCAGGGAGGAGGAGCTGCTCACGACAGCGATGTAGACAGCTTTTCCCTGAATTTAACAGTCGGAGCTCTTGGGCCAGGCAGGGACACTCTGAATTGTCTTGTGGATTGCGAAATATGGTACTTGTGATATACAGAAATGCTGGTTTGCAGAGGTGGAAATGAGGACCTAGATTTCACGTGTCTCATGAGTAAATGGCCGATGGCTTTAAAATCAGAATCAGTGGCTGGTTTTGTATTGCATGTGTAGTTCACGAGGAGTGGCAGTCAGTCCGCCCTGCGAGGCTTGACAGCGGGAATGCTACAGTACAGTAAATGTAGGGATTGGGGTTGCTTTGGTGGAACGAGAGAAGAAAATTCACGAGACCAGTTTATGCATATCTGCTTTCTGGCCATGCTTTCCTTATGGACTCACTACAGCGTTTATGGATGGCTTGAATTGCTCCATGAAAACCCCCCAGTGTGTGAGGAAGGCGCTGTGGATCACCAAACCTTCATCAGACAGCACAACAAATGTCATGTTTTGGGGTTTTTACTTTTCTTTCTTCCAACAGCTAAAACTTGGAAAAGAAGAGAAACTCTTCAGGAAGAAGGTACTTTGCCTTTTTAATAGAAGTGTTCTCAATCTCTTATAATCCCCTCTCCTCATGTGAGCTGAATGTGAGCCAGTTTCTCTATCAGTCGTGTCCTTGTGTCACTGCAGGCATTTTTATTATCGCATTTACATCTTGAAACTACAGAATATCTCTCCATGGAAACCTTTACACTTCGGGATAGTTTAGCTGCAGTGTCTGGTTTTATATTTTCCGTTCTGTTGTCCCATATTAAAATACAGAAGCAAGCTGTGTTTTGATGACCCAAGGAATAAAATTCTGTTTCTATACTGATGTTTCGCTCTTCCTGTGTGGTTGAATCTTGCCCCTGCCACACAACCCCTCAGCATTCTGTACCATAGCACATCCCTGCAGTCCCCCGCTGGCACCCAAGGGAGCCAGGGATAACCTGGCACGCAAGTACCGATTACCTCTCTCAATGTGGCACGATAACAGGAGTCCAAAACTTTAAGCGCTCGTCGGTACCCTGTGTGAAGGATGCTGCAAGCTGACAGTAGTCTGATGATGTAATTTTTTTATTCTAACCTGTCATTAACTTACTGTGACCTCTCCCTTTACAATATGTTAATTTAAAGACAGGGTGATCAGCTTTCTCTGCTGGGCGCTGCAGTCTGAAGCATAGGAGCGCATCCACTGACTTGATCCAATTAGTTTATTGTGAAAGCGTAGACCTTCTGATATAACAAGTGTGTTCACAGCAGTTCTCTTTTTCCTGCCAGTCCAGATCTCTTGTTGTTAGACCTATTTCATTTTAACAGTTGGTGGCTTCTTTCCTGCTTGTAGTGATCAGATTAGACTTGAAGTCTTCCCTGGTCTTAGTTTGTACATCTCTTGTGCTTCTGGTGTGCATTAAAGAGAGATTTGATTAATGTGAGCAAGTGAAGTGGAGTTTGCTGTTACGAACAGCGACTGGGGCAGGGAAGAAGGTGCCAGCTAACCCCTGCCAGCCTGCGTTGCGTTGGAGATTGTGTCAGCGTGGGGTCTCGTCAGGCTAACAGTGTGTCAGACCTGTCAGTCAGATTCCCCGTTCCATATCCACCGGAGGTGGGGGAAGCTTGAGAAGTCGAGCAGAGTTTAGCAGGATGTAAAGGAGCAGCTAACGCGTAATTAAACGAGGCTGTGAGTATCCAGCGGTAAGGGCCACAACAGCACAGCCACAGTGTGAGTCGGTGATTGCGATTCAGGAGGTCTTGGCCGTTGGGCCTGAACACACGTCAGCCAGTCTTTAAAGTGGGTGCCCAGTGAATGTGTCCCAAGCCGGTTTCTTCTGGCCTGCTGGGGAAAAAGCTGTCTATAGTATGCTGCTAATCTTCTGTATATAAATTGTCCACTGTGTAATAAGGCCCTTAAATCTGCAGGATTATGCATGGTGAATAAATGCATTTATCACTCTCTTGGAGCCCGGAGAGCCAATAGCTGGACTCCTCATCCATGATGGCACTTGAACTTGATACCTTTGGCCAGTGAATGTACCCTTGTGCTCAGGGCTGGCAGGCAGCCCGACCCCCGGGCAGGGCTGCCTGTGTGGAGCATCAGCATGTGAAGTATTGCTGAGTACGTTCTTGCTCGAATAGTCAGCCTTTGTCTCTTCCTTTTCAGCGGCGATCGTGGAAGGCTCCAGATGACCGAACTGCCATGATCAAACCCCTGCGGCGCCTCAAGCAGGAGCCAGAGGATGACCTGCCAGAAGCACCTCCCAGGTCCAAGGATAGCGACCAGTCACGGTCCAGCTCGCCCACTGCAGGTCCCAGTACGGAGGGTGCCGAGCCCAGGGACAAGAAGAAGTTCAAGATGAGGCGGAAAAGGCGGCTTCCCAATAAGGAACTGAGCAAGGAGCTCAGCAAGGAGCTCAACCAGGAGATCCAAAAAACCGAGAACAGCCTTGCCAATGAGAATCACCAACCCATCAAATCTGAACCTGAGAGCGAGAATGAGGAACCTAAGCGTGCTTTGAACAACAGCGAGAGACTCCATAGGTTCAGCAAAGGGTTAAACGGGACTCCCCGGGAGCTGAGGCACCAGCTCATCCCCAGCCTGCGAAGCACACCTCGGGGAATAACCCGGCCACCGCCTTCGCTCTCTCCTCCCAAATGCATTCAGATGGAACGACACGTTATCCGGCCACCTCCCATCAGCCCCCCTCCGGACTCGCTCCCCCTGGATGACGGGGCAGCCCACGTGATGCAGAGGGAAGTCTGGATGGCTGTCTTTAGCTACCTCAGTCATAGAGACTTGTGCATCTGTATGAGAGTTTGCAAGACCTGGAACAGATGGTAAGGAGGGCGGGAAACCGAGCTAGGTGTAACGTGTAGCGGGATGGACTCAAAAGGGAAGAGGGTGACGGAGGCACTAACACCTCCTAGGAGAGGTGTGCAGGTCGTCACTGATGCTCTGTTGAGCGCAAGGAGAAGGGGTGACCAGCAGTGTCTAAAGAAGTAGCATGTCTTCTGGTGCTTTCTCAGAAACAGCAGTTCCCAGCATTTCTGATGGGAATTGTGTGTGTGTGTATGCGCGTGTGTCAGCATCGGCGTCAGTCTGCCGGGGCTGTAACGCCCCAGAGCAGCCTGTTCTGTAGTTAGACACCACAATGTTCTTGCCTGCTGGAACAGCCAGTCTAGGTCATGCTAAGTCTCGGTGTCATTCTGCCCGCAGGACTTGCTGACTGCTAATGCAGTTGTTTGTTCAGTTCAGCTATTAAATATCTATTGAGATATAGTGAAGATCTCCCAGTGCCCTCGGTGTTCTCCTCAGAAGGTCCATGCTGATTGTTTCCCCAAAGAGGGTACGTGGAAAGCGATCCCGTTCGCTGTGTTCCGTACCGGCAGAGCTGATGGAGGAATCCTTCATTATCGTATTTACTCACAGTGTGTCTGTTTGGTGCCCGGGGTACCAGAGTGTGAACATTGACACAGTCGGTGACTGTATGGCAGCAGGAAGCATTAGTCGACAGATTTATATGTTTCACTGAACTTGCAGTAACGTCTCTTGTTGGCTGTCATCTCGCATTCAACTGTAATGAGCACACAGATGGGCAGGTTGTAACAGAGGCTCCTTTCTAGCACAGTCTAGTAACAAACTGGGTAAATGACAGAAAGGTTGAGAGGTTGATAATTCGGTGCAAGAAGATGTGTGTGGAGTGCTTCCTTCGTGGGCTTCTTGGTGTCACAGAAAGCTGGTAAATGCCTTTTCCATGTAAGTGCAGTATTTTTTAATGGAAAAAATGAGAAAATGCAGAAGCCTGCATAGTTAGGACTTCTTGCTTGTTGCCCTTAAAGAATCACAAAGAGAGTGTAAAAACACCTAAGCCATGTAGACAGGAATAACACAAAAGCACCAAGCAGGAGGGGAGGAATCTGTTTTACAAAATTCATTGGTTTTAAGTAAGGAAGGCACAGGGGAAATTAGGACAGTAATATTTAAAACCAGTCTTTATATTCAGAAGGTAAGCAAGGTGTGGGTTGTCTTCAGGCTAGAAAATGGATTTTAGTAAGTGCTGTGATGACTTAAAATGGGATCCGAAGTTGTTGACACTTGTAATTCTGTGGAAATAATTCCATGCTTTATTGCATGATATATTTGATGGAGAAACTTCAAACCTACGTAACATTGTGTGGTGGTGTGCTTATCTTAGCATCGCTCAGCCTTATTTTTGCTATTTTCAGTTAAATGCTGTCATTTTCCCTACTGTTTAATGACACCTTTTAAAGTCTTGAAGAAATCAAAACAAGTGCCAAATTAAGGGCTGTTGGCTTTTTTCTTTTTGGGTAGGTGCTGTGACAAAAGATTATGGACCAAAATAGATTTAAACCATTGTAAATCCATCACTCCACTTATGCTTAGTGGCATTATTAGGAGACAGCCTGTAACCCTTGATCTTAGCTGGACAAATATATCTAAAAAGCAGCTGAGTTGGCTTATCAACAGACTGCCAGGTAAGTGATGTTTTTTGACCACTTCACTCCATTTAGCAAACCAGTTTGTATATAAACTGCAATCTCTGAGGAATGTCTGTAGGGATCCGGGTGTCCTAGGAGAGGAGTAGATACGTAGGAGTGAAGCATCGGCGGGTTAAAACGGGCCCAAAATTAGTTATGTTGTGACTACTTGACAAGCTAGGTAAACTCATTTGAGACGGGACTTCATCAACAGGTTGCTGTGGCAAGTGCCTGTGCTGACGTGATTAGCGGAGGGGGTGGTGGGGGTCTGCTCTCACCCACAGTAATGACATTCCAGCTGGTGGGAGAGACGGAGAGCTGGGCAGGAGGAGGTTTACGGGGTCCCTGCTTGCCCTGGAGTGCTGGGATTGTTCATCAGAGCGGCACCGGGCTTCACCTGACCTGTGCGTGGTAGCAGAGATCACCGCGGATGTCTCTCTGGAGAGGCCACATGCTCCAACTTCTTCTGTATCTGCAGGTCTTCGAGACCTGCTCTTATCAGGGTGCTCATGGATAGCAGTGTCGGCACTTTGTAGTTCCAGTTGTCCTTTACTCCGAACTCTGGACGTGCAGTGGGCGGAAGGCCTGAAAGACGCACAAATGAGAGACCTCTTGTCGCCACCCACAGATAACCGGCCAGGTAACAGGCGGGAGGAGCACGCGGGAGACCTGTCCCAGCCGTTCTCTGGCATGTTCTGCTGCTAGTCCCCCTTGGAGGAAACGGGCAGAAACCCCCGCAGCTAGCACCGGCGGGGGTCTGGGCTTTGCTGACGCGCGAGGTGTTCGAAGTAGTGACTTGCAACACCTCCTCGCTGGAAGCCACTGGGTAACGAGTGATGTTCTCTGGCTGCTGAACAGTCATCTGAGCCACTGTGCTGGTTTTCTGTCTGACTTTCTTCTCTTCAGGCTGCAACGGGTGTACTTTAGAGAGTATGGAAACACTTTCTTCCAGTTCAGGGAAGGAGCAGTTCTGTGGGTCATGCCACATTCGCCCGGATATCAGCTCAGGTGAAATTTTGAGCAAATCAGATCTGCTTTCTGGCATGCACTGCACAGCCTACTGCTTATTCCCGACTTGTAATTCCGCTGGGCCCCTGCAGTTACTTTCATCCCTTTTGTTTTGAAATCAGGAGGTGGCTTTGTCCACGTGCCTGTTCCAAAAATAGACA